TTTGACAAAGGGAAAATAGTGCTTTAGCTTCTCTTGGCAGTGAATTGTGATACTAGCACATGTGAGGACTAGGTAAGGAATAAAAAGTGGGCAGCTGGATCTGACTGTTCCTACTTGTTCTGTTAAACGGTCCTATATTAGATGCAGTCAAGAAATCACATCTCATTTAGCTTGTGAGCTACTGTTTTCCTTCTAGTTCTGACATAAAGCCTTAGGGACGGCTAGTGTTCTTCCCTTTAGGTAGTCCTGCTTTCAGTCTGGAGTTGTGATACTCCAGACTTGCCAGTTTTCTGACAGCTAAAATGTGGAGAAGTGATTCTAACATTTGAAGGTAGAGAATGAAGCTAGTTGGTGCCGGTCAAACACAGAAAGGCTGGCTACTGGCTGCAGTGGAATAGGTTTCTCTTACATTTCCCCCAGCACAGGCTGTGAACCAAATGCCATGGGCTCCTGCTGGGGTTTGTTGTGGAGGCTGACCACAGCAGCACGGATCCTCCTGCAAGTCAAGAAACGCAAGAGTTCTAATATTACATTGTGTTTTTTTTTTTTTTTTTTTTTTTTTTTAAACCACTGAAATGAATAGACAACTTGAACTGTGGCTATGCCACAATATTTTATAGGTTGTCTACAGTTTCCATTTCTGAAGGCTTCTAGTCTCGGTAGCAAATCTAAAATACTTACTGTGTCAGCCCTGTGTCGAACCAGGCCAGCTCAAGAGCATGTTGCAAAAGAGCAAAGAATGTGTTATAAAAGAGCAAGAACTGATTCTTAAGAGAGCTTCTTGTATATTGAAGTAATCTCTACAGCCTTCTAAAATCTCAAACAACCTAGGCATGTGGTGGGTGTTGACAGTGATATTGCTGTTCTCACAGTATTGCCTTAAGGAACAGCTGACAGGTCTAGTTTTTAAATAGTTTTATGGCATCCCTCTGCGGTCCTTGTGTAAAGTCATGGTCTTTAGAAATAATCACTTAACAGTGAACAGCTGTGTGAGTGTTTTTGGGCTGCTCTTGTTTGTAAGGGAATGGTTAATTTCCGCTGGGCAATGGAGGTTTAGGAGAGTTTTAAAGGACCTCTGGCAGGACAGTCTTAACCAACACTTGTTGCACAGATTTTTCCCTGAAAATAGAGTTTCTGTCTGAAGACTAATAGTCTCAAAGTACTTTCTTGCACAACAGATCCAGTCCTTTGTGTTTAAATTTGCCTGTATTAGTAAAACACAGCAAGCTTTGTATATTTAGAGTCAATCCTGCTGTGGGGAGAGATTTAATCTGTTGAGGATGGATGATTGAGAGAGCAAAATGGTTTCATTCTTGGAGAGTTTGATGAAGAGACTAACCTGTTGTGTAACTGAGGACAGAACGGGTGAAGGCAAATGGCAAACAAGCTGTGTGTTTGCCTGGTTCTGCCATACATTGCAGGGCTGGTGATGAGTAAACAAAGCCTGCTGGTTTTAAAAATTGGACTTGTGATTTTTAGGTAAATTTTGATACCAGAAAACCATAGTTCAAATGAAATGAGTAAATGATTTTATATGAAGTTATTGTTAGGAATAATAGACTTTGAAATGCATGGGCAAATCTGTTAGTCTAATTTGTTTTACATTTAAATCTTTATTGAGTGCGTGAAATAACGCATATCTTTCAGCTCTGTTAAGTAATGAAATAAGGAAAGCTCAACCATTAATCAAAACCGGCAACCTACTGAGCAAGAGGAGATGCTCCACAGCAAAGAGATGATCTTATGGCTTAATGCTTAAAATATGTGCTGTATCCAAATGTTAGTGCTACATGGAATATTGCTGTCTAGTGAAACAGAGGATGGGAGTAAAACTTTCACAGGAAAAGTAATGTTTGAGTGTCAAAAAAGTGCTTTTTAAAAGCACTTTAAAATTTCCAAGCACTGCTGCTTATACCAGCAACATGTCCTTGACTGCCAGCTTATATTTATGAGAGCAAACATGATGCAGTGTGTAAAATATGCTCTTAAAAGGTAGAAATCACATGCAGAGGTGCATAAAGCAGTAGATAAGTAGCAAGGATTATAAATTCCTAAAACCCCCCCACACATTCTTTTATGACATAAATGAGTAAAAGTAAAGTCTTCAGACTGTTTTGGTGCTGGGGAAAAGAAATAAGATCTTGAGTTAGGGACAGAGGTTTACTTTTAAAAGCAACATGATCTGCCCCATGGGGGCTGTTTGCTCTTATCAGCACATGGCAGTGCACAGCAGAAGTGTCTGGGATTGTCTGAAGGGCAAGCAAACTGCAACGATGCTTTTAAAATGGCAAAGAAGGGAAGCAAGTTCAGGCTTCTCTTTGTTGTAATTTGGGATGGGTGATTTGATTTGTCAAGCTTGAGAGTACTATGTGAGTAAGTGGCAGTGAGAGAGAAATCGGAAGAAAGGGTTATTTCACATACACCTCCAAAAGAGGTGGGGAGCTGTTGTAGTGTGGCAGTTTTATTGTGCTGCTCCCACGGCCTTAATTTCTGGTGGGAAACTTCCCTTCTCACCTCTCTGTCACTGGGTGTGAGGTTCTGATAGGAAAGCGCTTCAGCTTTTACTGAGTTGGGAGCCACTAAAACAAGTTGTTACTGTTTTTTGTTTTGTTTTGTTTTTTTAATATGACTCTTTAAAAACATCGTCCTGTTGCCTCTATCACTTCTCTCATTCCTGTTTTAATGTTTCCCTTTCAAATGTTTTAATTCCATTATTTCTGTTCATCCTATGGGATAGCATCCTTCTTGCATCTTTTTCTGTTAGCTATTTGTGAAGCTTGAGCTTTCTGTTGAACATCTACTGATGTAGCTCCTAGACAAGGCTCGTCCTTATTTTCAAGGCACAGTATTTTAGTTTTGGACTCATAAGCGCTGTCACAGACAGATTAATCTCTTCCTTTTACTTTGCTATGTTTCCTATTATGTTTTACCTAACAGCCTTATCTACACCTTCTTTATGCCTCCATCGTCCGTATTGCTGTTACACCTCAGTTCTTCATAAGCAATGCTGGCAGTACAGGAAGAGTGAAACATGAGTAATTTTTCCATTGCCTGTCTTGGAAAAACACATTGTCCAGGGAGAACAGTACAGAAAGGAGCAGGAAAAATTCCTTACTGCTTAGAATGGGGAAGCCCCAGGAAGGTGATGTACTAAATGTATTTTCTGTCTTCTCAATTTCTTGCAAGAAAAAAAAAAAAGAAAAAGAAAAAAAGTTGTTTTTTTTTCTACCCATGCCCCTTTATTCTGGCATAGGAAGCTTATGTACGGCTGCTCTTGATTACATGTTGTAGATTTTTGCACTAGAAACTGCACAGTGTAGTTTGGAGTTCATTAATACAGTAACTGTACCTGGTTGGATAATCTTGTATGTGGATTTAGTGTGCTTGTAAAAACTTTATATAAAGTTATTGTTAGGAATAATAGACTTTGTGAAATATATACCCATATACATGGCTATCATATTTCCACGCATATTCCATGTGGATTTAGTGTGCTTGTAAAAACTGCTCAAGAAAGCCTGTTTTATTAGCTGACTGTGCCATTTTTTGAGGGAGGAAATTACTGAATGAGTAATCTTCATGTTCCTAAGCAGACCTTTGTTACCGCTGCAGTAGAGATTCGGAATCGGAGTGGTCTGTCACTTTTATTGTGTTCCAGACTAGAGTTGGAACAATACTGCTGGACAAAGATCAGTGATGTTGTGAGACAAATATTTGGAAAGCAGCCAGGTGCAGATAGCAGTGCGGTATTCCAGCGGGAATTGGGTATGAGAGCTCAGGGATGTATGCGCTTCTGCGGTCCCGTTTCCTCAGGGCTGCGGCTATGCTCTGTTACGTGGGCTAGCACAAAACATCCATGCTAGTCAAGCAATGGTCAAGGCTATTAGCACCAATTTGTGCATGTTTTGGCTAACTAACTACTTCCCCAGAATCCTCTTAGTGGGCTGCATAAAAATCTCTTAGGATTTTTCTCCCGAAAAGTTGGTGGCATTTCTTAAATGACTTTATAGCCCAGGTTGGTGTCAGGGTATGACAACTGCGCTGGCATGCTGCAACACTACAGTGCAACACTATAACCCATGCACGCTAGTGGGCCTAAATAGCACTTGAGGATCATAATCACACATGGAAACAGGTGAGAATTTGTTCCTTCCAGGATGTTCAGGCTCATAGTATTAAAAAGACGATTCTGTTCATACGCTCATGTAAGTTGGTGCCCATAGCGTGACTCCCTCCGAGCAGCTGTTTGTGCTCTCAGAGCTCATGCTCACAGTCCCATCGTGTCTGCAGTTGCATCGGTTCAGGCAGGCTTTTTAGCCCCCATCTTAATCTATGCGAATAATCTGTCCTTATCTGATGCCGTCACTGATTCAGTGTGGCAAAGCACTAAAGCATTCAAGTTGTACTTAAGACCCTGTGCACTTAATGTATAATTACTTACTTGAAATTCTGAAAGGAAAAAGAACAGGAGGTGGGGGGAAGGAACAGGTTAAGATCTGTATTTTGATGTTTATCATTTGGGTGTTTCTTGTTAGGAGATCTTCCAGTCATGCGGTAGATGCTTTAAGCATAGAGTGAAAGAGCTTAAGCTCTTGATATCAAGTTCTGATTTGCTGCCCTCTGCTGAGCACAGGCTCAGCTGAGCTCATCCAGCTGCCTCAGAGCCCAGGGCCCCTATTGACTTCTGAAGATGTGTGTGGGTTTCTGACGTCTCCCTCTCCAGATTTTGCCTTAATGGGAACTGTAAACTGTTTCAAAACCGTATGGCAGTAGAAATATAGCCACAGGATTTTTTCAAATTTTTATTTCAAATTTTATTTAAAATTTGAAATTTTTAAAATTGGTAAAATTTTATTTGGTAAAAAAGGGTGTGTTTTTTTTTTTTTTTTTTTTAACAAGCCATTCATTTTAAGTGTTTCTGCTCATGCCTTCATCACTGGAATTCTTGCAGTATCATCATCCTTGTTCATTGATGATCTCTCCTTTTGTTTTGTTTTGTTTCAGATTTAGCCTTGGAATCAAATCCATCTGATCATCCCAGAGCAAGCACAATTTTCCTGAGCAAGTCTCAAACAGATGGTAAACTTGCTTTTTCCAATTAAAATACAAGTGGGGAGGAAAACTGGAAAAAATAACTGCCTATTTTAATTATACATCTTGAGAACAGTTTAATTGCTTAATTCTTTCAAAGCATAGGGATTCATAATTTGCATGTTTAAACAGAAGTGTGTTTATAAGCTTTTATTTAACACTTAAAATCACTTGTTTCTTTAAGGACATTAAATAAATATTAGAAGTTTTCAGATTTGGGATGCTCATAGTCTGAAGTCAAGCTTTAAGCATTTATGTTCTTTATGACCAAAAGCTTTTTAAAATGGCTTTCAAGTGCACATTCCTTTGTAAGGAATATTAAGCCAAAGTCATCAATCTGTATTACTTGCTTTTGAATGTGCTGTTTTAATCCATTTGAAAAGTTTCACTGGCACAATCATTCTTGATTCTGTTCTGTAATTGCATGGGTAATTACATGGGTTTAACATGATTTTCAATTTCTATATAGATTGTTTGTTTACTTCACAAGGTCAATTTTAAACAATTACTGTAGCTTATGTATACCACAGTGCTTTTTTAAAAATAGAGATATTTACATATTGCATAATCCAAAAAAAAATCTAACAATAGTTAACTTCGAAATTGCAAATAAAGGGACATTAAGATACCCTGAATACCTTTATATACCTGGTTCCTTTATAGTTGCTTCTTGTTTGGCATGTTGTTTTTTTAAGGCGGTCGTGTTGACGGAAGGTTCCAGTGTGCCTATTGCCTCGGCACACCTTTGCCACAGAGAAGTAGAATCATTTTGACAAGTCTGTCAGTTCCAGTGCTGCTATTCATGCTCCTGTGGCAAGTAGTAAAATGGTTAGTTATATCAGTTTCACAGTGCTTGGATAATCTTCGAGCAACAGAAACAAGCACTAGCATTATCGACAAGAAGAGGTGGCGCCAAGGAAACGTAGGCCTTTCCTCAAAGGCTCTAAGGTCACTTCTCAAGCAGAGTTTGACCTGTTCAGACACCTCTCAGACAAGTGCTGCTTACGTTGTAATTAGCAAGTTGATGTCATTGCAAAACAGCTTTTACAGCCTTTAAACTGCCACAAATAAGTTTAGAACTGTGTAAACATCCTGCTGGACGTGGTATCACTTTTAAACATGATTCCGTATTCCTCTAATATAATGGACTAAATTTGTCTGCGCTAGGTGAGTTAATATCCATAAAACTATTCTCTGAAGTTTTTATTAGTTGGCTGAATAGATTTTTGTATAGCATTTTTATGGACAAGTGAGACAGTCACGTATTCTCTTATTTCAGTGGATCTTCTTTACTAAACTTTTAGTAGAACCAGTAGGATTAATATCGTTAAATTCTCTAGTAGGTTATGTAGTTTACCAGCTTTGATAAAACTCAGTATTTTTTCCTCAAACTTTGCACTTCCAGACAAAGGAATTTGATAGCGAAATTTGAAATGCGTAGTACTCAAGTACTTCAGAAAATTAGGTTAATAGAATGACTTTTTTACTGGTGTAAATTGGGATTCTATTTTAGTGATTTCTAAGTTTACATTTTCTCCCTTATTCTAGTGCGAGAGAAGAGGAAGAGTAATCACATCAACCATGTAAGTAAAATACAATTCTTAGAAGTGGGGTACTAGTTTAAGGAGTATTAGCATACTGGGACAGAGACAAATTCAAGAAAGAGATGTAGTAGTTGTGTGTATGCAGTCCTGCATGGTCTCGAAATCCTTCTTAGCAAGTGAAAAAAAAAACCCAAACTCAAAAAACTATTGACTAGAGAAGCTAAGAACAGCATTTATTAACACAAAACCTAGAAAAATATTGCTTTGCAGAAGTGTTTACGGGTAAGTTGTTTATAAGGTAATGATATTTCAAGCCCACTACATCTTAGTAAGTTTGTGGGACTTTCTTGTTTGCAGTTTTTTAACTACAGTTTCACCTTTAGTGACCAAGGTGCTGACTGATTGTTTTTGCTGTCAGTTCAGCTGGAACAGGAGATGTTCCCAGGCATCCATTAGTGGTAAAGGACGTCCAAGTTCCCATGTGGAAGTCTCCTAAGTTTTCAGAGATGGTATTGAAATAGATCATGGCAAAAATTAATGAATCTCAAACTGCTTGATTAAAGTGAAGATGCTCTAGCTCTAGTTCCAGGCATTCTCTAAAAATGCTGAGGGAAGCTTGATTTATTGTTGTAATAAGGTAAGAACATTTCTTAAAGCATAAAAGCTGCAGTGTGAGGACAGATGATGGAGTGTACTATTAGTTCTAAATAGCAGAAGTTTTGGTCCCAGTAATCCTTCATTTCCTGATTCCAGGAGATCCATGTCAGGAAGATTTTTTAAAACAACCAAACAAAAAACTGTCTTTACAGGGAAAGGTGTTGAATAAGCAGAAGATATAAATATGTAGGAGATGGTGTAAAAGAAAGAAGATTGTGGGAACATTGGGAAATCTAAGAAAGTACAAATAGAAAGAAAGACTGAAACCAAATCTGGCAAGAATGGAGTAAAGGAGAACTGGGGGGAAAAAACAGGGTTGGTGCTTTCCTTGTAGCTATTTCTGTTGAAAACTACTAATCCAAACATCTGTTCAGTAGTAGCTGTCTGCATTCGAGGTGTAAACCCAGTATTCGGTTTAGTAAACTAAATCTTACAGAATCACTCCTCGTGAATTTATTTCCTTTTTTTTTTCTTTCTTTTTTTCTTTCTTTTTGTCCATTAAGGTTTCTCCTGGGCAGCTTACGAAAAAATATAGCTCATGCTCAACAATATTTATAGATGACAGCACGGTCAGCCAGCCTAATCTTAGAAGCACAATCAAGTGGTAAGAACCATTTGTCCTCAAGAAGGATTCCAAGAACCACTGCACAGACTGCTGGGATTCTGTGGTGGTCGTGTCTGTTCTACAGCGGGCCGTGCACTGGGGTGAGAGGAGCACAGCGTTGCTGACCCCAGTTGCTCCTGGAAGGGCTCTCCAAGTGTCCTTATTATACTGTTGTTGTTTCCAGAAAACTACCCATCAGGGAAAACTTGAAAAGGTTTTTTGCATGGAACTGTAGGAAAAGTTTCTAAGACTGCATTTGTTACCTGGCCAGTGGTATTAGCCTGCCCTCTAGTTGTGGATCTCTGTATGTTGCTGGGTTTGGCATAAGTTCCAGCCTTTCTACTTTTCCTTCATATATTTCTTATTTTAGGTATGTGAGCTTGGTAATTCTTTAGTCTTTTTAGCTGTCTAGTGGAATTGGCCATTTGAACTGTTGGCCTGGATACCATGAAGATGACTGTGCAGAGACGATAGCAGCTGAGATTTGAGAAGAAAGTCTGCTGTGCTTGAAGGAAAGGAAGGCACTCTGCCTTCAGGCCCAGACTCTGCTACTGCTGGAACGCTTCAGTAAAGTTTGAAAAAGTCTAGGTGGATCTGTGACCTTCAAATTTGATTTCAAATGGGCATTTAGCATGTCACTCCTTCTCCACAGAAAAAAAAATATTAAAAATGGTACTTTTGCCTCTTTAAAGTGGTGTACAGTTTGTAACAGATCAGGGCTTTCCTGGGATGGATTCCTGTGATGCAATATTGCTGTTGCCACTGCCAATCAAGTATCTGAAATTTTGGCCAAGGAAGAGTGGCAGCATGAAATCTCTTGCCCTGTTTACCTCAGTAGAGACTGAAATCTGCTCTTGTTCCCTTCTTGAATTATACTGGCATTCCTTACTTTTCCTTTTAGACACACCCTATGATTTGAGGCAGAGGTACAAAATTAAAGCATCAGCAGCACAACAGTCTATATGACAGCGGGTAGAGCGGTTATCATGCTTTAGTCATGCATAGACCAAGTTTTCAGAGTGTTACCTAATAGGGTAATGAATAATTGTGTGCATAAAATCTGGTATATAACTTTTTTTTTAATGGCATAAATATATGAACACAGAACATGGAAGTAGTTTGGCCAGCACATGTGAATTCAGCATCTGTTTTGGCCAGTTGCTGTTCAGGCAGGTAAACATCAAACCAAAATACAAAGTATTTGAGGGTCTGTGGGGAAGCCAGGACCTAATGGATTCTGGCCATTTTGTCCCAAGTAGCAGCTTATGCATCAAAATGGTATGCACAGAATATGCCCTGTTAAGTCTTTTTTTTTTTTTCTCTCTCTCTCTCTCTCTCTTTTTCAGTGTTACATTAGCAATATTCTACCACATAAAGAACAGGTGAGTGATTCTTTTTCAAATAAATCAGCTTTCTTTTTAAGCAGGGAAAATACCCTTGTTGCTTATGTAACTGCTAGTGTAACTTAAGACATAGCTATTATAGCTTAAAGGAGTTGAAAAATGTGGCAACTTTATAATGTAGCTGCTTTCTCTTTGTACCCTTTCTTGAGCAGTTATGGAAAGGTCAATAATATTAGCCATGCTCTGCCATGTGCTTCATCAAAAAAGTCATGTGCTTCATCTGGCATGAAAAACCAGAACAGGGGAAGTGAGGAAAAATATATGCAACTCATTACACAGCAGCCTTTGGGCTTTGTTTAGCTTTTACTGAATACAGTGTTAGAGACTATTTTGGTAGGTGAATAAACACTCTATTCTCTGTACAAATAACCTTGCCATTATTGCTAATTACTGTGTAAACTTTAGAATTACACCTACCTTTTAAAAATACTGAATGCTGTGAGATAGTTTCACGTTTTAAGGGAGAGCTGTACTAAGCATACTATGAGCTATGGCTTCTGTATTTGAAATGTAATTAAACTTGCTAGTGAGAACATGGAAGTTTATTGTTAAATTGTTAAATATTCATTTAGAGATCTCATTATGAAATACCTTGTAAAAATACAATAAAACTTCATATAATGTTCTATGAGTATCTGAATTGTAAAATATGTCCCCTTGTGCTCTTTAGTGAGTAATACTTACTAGTGGAACATGCCATTACCAGTGAAGTCTTACTGTTAAAATAGAGGTTTTTGCTTTGCAGAGATTCAGACAGATCGTTGGATATTTTTGATGAAAAGTCCCATCCCCTCACAGTAAGTGTAGCTTTTTTGATCTTGTATACATATGAACATTTTTAATCTTGTTTTGTATTCTGTAAGTTCTGAAAATGTCTTAATGCCAAGTCACAAGCAACTAATATCTTATGTATAGTGCAGACTGTCCTCTGAAATTCTGATATCAGCTGGCTCATGAATACAATCCAGTGCTTCAAATATTGCAATATATGTTTGTTTTCACTACAGTATCTGAATATAAATCAAGTGAAGTGGTGATACTTCCATTTGTATGTCAGGACTTTTGTCTTGTTCATTTTTTCTCCTCTTCAGCACTACAGCAATCAATTAAAAAGGCTTTCCTGCTTACTTGGGAAGATGTGGTCAGTACATATGTGCCTAACCGTTTAAGTGATCGCAAACAGGTCTACATAGTGCATGAAGCATCACACAAAGCAGGAGATAGAGAGTCTGTTCTCGAAAAAACCCGAAAGGCAACATTTTAAAGCAAATAGGCTCAGTGCTGCTGACCCTCGCAGGTAGGGTTGTTCAGTATGTGATTCTAAAGTGACCGGGGACATCTACAAAACCTCACAGTACAGAGTAGCCAAGGGTGTGTGCTTACCATTTCCAGTTTGAGGAGTAGATTTATGGCTTTCCTACAGAGTGCCTTGTTTTATTCTCTCTCTCTTTCAAATTATTTTAGTAAAGCTTTAGTAGCTTTAAAAAATCAGTTTGCTCTGGAAATTACTGAGAAATTGCCCTCTGACCCAGTGCAGCTGAATTTATCTCACAGCATTAGCTTGTTAATAAGCAGTATTAAATGGTAACGTTTGTTTGAGTATCACCCCTAAATGGTGTGCTAGGCATTGTACACTTTAATAAATACAGCTCCATACACAGTAAAAATAATGAACTTCAAAAGAAGAGCTATGCAGAAAGTTTCTTGCATTCTGCCAGTGTCACTTCAAGGAAAATACCTGCTCTAAAACTGTTCTTATCTGCTTAAACCATTTGTTTCTTATTTAACATTCTTTATGTAAGATGAACGCCCATTTATGCTGACAATTTTTTTTGTTGATCCATCTGACATCTTTTGATCCTTTCTTGTAACCTACTTCCCATTTAATGAGCATGCACAGAGGAAAATCATTGCATCCTAAGTTTTGTTCCATCTTAGTAGTGTGTGCAGACAGAAATGTAATAGTGGCTGTCCCTCATACTTTTGAGGAGAAAAATACAAACTACTTGCTAGTTTCAATAGCTATAGGTTTGGGACCTAGTATCTGCAACTCAACTGAGAGGAAAAAAAACCAGCAACAACAACAAAAGTCAGTTGGAAAAACTCTCCAGACACTTTATTCTTTAAGGATTCAGTCACAAGGAAGTTCAAATCCAGACAACTGTTCAGGCTCGGTTGTCTCTAACTCCAGAAGGCGCAGAAGCTTGGGCAGACTGTACGGACAGGATCACAAATTGAGTTTTTGTGCCTCAAGCTTCCAGGGTACAGAGCTTGAGTTTCTACACCTCTGCACCTCTAAGCAGAGGGCTGAATAGCAGATGTCTTGGGGACAGAGTCAGAGCTACTGAACACTCACATTAGGATTACAGTGTGTTTAATAATATTTTTCCCCCTCTCTTTAGAAATAGTAACAGATACTGTCAAAGATAAAGTCTAGCTGTTCGTTGGCTCTTCTGTCTTTCTAGATTTTTCTCAAGAATGAGTCCTGTGCAGACAGTATGTCACCATCTGTGCTGAATTAATAGAATGTGTTCTTTAGCTCTTTTTCAACTTGAAGGGGATTTTGGTGAAGTCTCTTCATTGTGCTTTTTGAAAAGCCGGTGCTTTCAAAAAACATATATTGAGTATAAATGACTAACTTTCTTGCAGGGAGAACCCTTTTTTGTTTCTTTTCTTTCTTTTTTTTTTTTTTTTTTGAGTCTCTAGAAAGCTCCATGGACAACACCTGATGCCAGTAATAGTGCCGGTAGTTCATGCTTTTTCCATTACCCTTGCAAATTAAAAAAGTTTTGAGAACAGAGTTATTATCAGCTAAAACTATTGCTTTTGACTTCTACCATTAATAATATTGCAGGGCAATAATTGAAAGTTTGTTCAGTACAGTGTTTCATTTTCTGATATTAAAGGCGGTTTACACCTCCACTCGGCGCGTGGCTGTTCTTAAAAGTCAGTAATAAGTAAAACAGCTATTCAGTAATTCAAAGGACTTTATTTCAGCGGGAAGAAGTTCCGGATGACTACTACAAGCACGACCCTGATCACAAGCACATCTACCGGTTTGTACGGACACTTTTCAGTGCTGCCCAGCTGACGGCTGAATGTGCAATAGTGACGCTGGTAAGAGATGCCTGGTTACTGAAACTTAAGCTTTTGGAAGGTGTGTGGTTGGTTTGTTTACTTTTCCTCAAAGTTGAGGCGAACTAACATTTAAATAATTACATTACCTAATGAAACTTGGTTAATAATGACTAAAATGTACAAATGAGTTCATTTGAAAAGATTTCTAAATAGTCACAGAAGTGGTTAGCATAGAGGGAATGCACCTTTTCTGTGTTTGATGACTATATAGTGCCTAATCACCTTTCCAGTCACCCATTTGTTTTGTAGTATATAATGCCTTAGAGGAGCCTGACAAAAGCAGGACAGTGGGATATACCACAATCAGCAACACAAACATTTCTTTTCCTTTCTGCTGTGCAGAGGGAAGTGGGAGAAGCTCAGACTTCATATAAACCAGAACAGGGCAAGGAACAGACCCCCTAATGATTAGTTTTATAGGACTCATATAGGAACTGTCTCATTATCATGTCCTTCAGCCACTGCCACCTTTCTTTCAAACCTAGTTTTCACTGATCAGTCTAAATCTTTAATGTTTTTTCTCCAGTTCACATGGGGTCCTTGGAACTTAAAAACAAGAGGAAGAGAAAATAATCTCATTAAAGTTTATTTTTTGATTTCAAAAAGTGAGATGGATTTAAAACAATGAGTATGATACTGATTATTACTTACACAAAATATACATGTATATAAGTTTTTTAAAAAGTTACTTATACTGCAGTAAACTGTACACTTTGCTGCACACTAGACTTCAGTCTTCATGTGGCTTCTGTCTGAAAAGCAGCCTGAAAGGAGAAAAGAGTTGTCTGCAAAAGGTGCAGAAGACAATGTGGCCACTAAGCAGATTCATCTTCAAGGACACTTTTTAAATAAAGAAATAAGTAATTTAAAATGTCAGATAGTTATTAAAAAAAAAAAAAGCTGTTGAAACTCTGAAAGCATTTTGGATTTGGGGTTTTTGTTTGTTTTCTTTTCCAAAACTGTGCAAGCAGCTTGAACAGAACAAGATGATGCGTAACCTCAGGCAAGCTAGCCAGTGTAGGTATTCACAAAATTATACACAGTTGGTCTTCCATGTGGATTAGACCACTAGGTGGCTCTGTTATTAAAGGAATGCCTTGAGTCCCTGTGATGGCTTCAAGCAAAAGATGGGAAGAAAGCGTAGGGAGATGCTGCCCTTAGACCTGGCACCAGCGTCCTGTGCCCTCTGCACTGCCTAACGGTTCATTAGGACCTGGGCGGTAACTAGTCTATAGAATCCAACAATAAAACTAATCTATATTCAAAATTGAAAGTGTCAGTTGTTTAGTACATGGTCCATTATTTTGACAAACTTCATGGTAAAGAGATAAAATAGTCATACTGGAGTAGCATGTTGCTGCTCAGGACTGAGCTGCAGGTCTTAAACACACATCCAAACTTTTTTTTTTTTCCTTCTTTTCTTTTTGTAGGTTTACTTGGAAAGGCTTTTAACCTATGCAGAGATTGACATCTGCCCTAGTAACTGGAAGAGGATAGTCCTGGGTGCTATTCTGCTGGCCTCTAAGGTCTGGGATGATCAGGCTGTATGGAATGTGGATTACTGCCAAATATTGAAGGACATAACTGTTGAGGACATGTAAGTTGCAAGGTTTTGTTAATCTGTAATATTTTTTTCAGAATGGCAGTTTTCTTCATGCCTTACCAAAAAATCCACTGGCCTCTAGTGCTACAAAATACGTGTGTGACAAGTGCATCTGTGGTTGCACGTGGGCACATCCAGGTATTGCTACAACTTGTCCTCTCTGGGCGAGTTCTCTAGACTTGCCTCCATCGCTGAGAACAGTGCTCACAATTTTACTACTGCTTCTTGTGTGGAAAGTTGTTTGTGCTATATATTCCTGCCTCAAACAAGTTCTTAAAAAAGTCTTGAATCTGCTCCCTTTCCTTCATGCCTGCAGCTACAGTTTCAGAGGATATTTGTCCTTGTGGCTGCTGCAGGCTGGAAGAGTGTTTATAGGAGTGGTTCTGACCTATTATATTTTTGGTCAAACTCCAGCTCACAAAGTTCTGGCTCTGCAAGCCTTGAGATTTCAACATTGTTGTTTTAATTCTATCAGCCAGCTTGTTTCTGTATTGCCCCTATTAGCGCAGTGCTGTAGGTACTGGAAGGATGGCTGAGTGTCCTGCTTTCTGACCTTGATAAACTTTATGACATGTTTTATGCATTTTTGAGTCTTGTCACCCTATTGAGCTGTAATTGGTTTGTGTCCAGGCCTTGTAGTAAAAGACAGTATTACTACAGGAACAGGCTGAGGTAAAGGAGGTTTGTATTTGGTAGTGATGAACTACTTAAGTGAGATTCTCTCTTCCTGTCCTAAGCTCCCTTCCCTAGATTCAGCCTAAGCTTATGTTTAAAATCCAGTTAGTAAATATTTATCCATGACTCTATAGTAGGAGGAATATCTATTTTTCTTTCACTTTATTCTTTTATTGATAGAGGAGGGGACATCTAAAAATCTACATCAAAACCACTTTTTTATTATTCCAGGTGTCTTACACTGAACAACAAGAGCAAACATAGCATCATGTTTTATACATACTCCCTTCCTCGGAGTTCTTTGTCTCCAAAAGCAGAGCTCTGCCTGCCAGGCTTTCAGAAAGGCATAATTAGTGATTTTATACAATGTACATCTTCACTGAATCTGGCTCCAAGTGCTTGTCTATCTGAGGAGCATACTTGAAGCGTTGCTGCAAATAACGCTGAGATGGCTGAAGTGGGGTCAGCAATGCTAGGAGTGCTGGAGTATACATCTTGCTCTTTTTGATATCTCTTCTTGTAGCCCTATTTGGGAAAAATCAAATTGATGGCACTGAAAACATGTGTAACAAGAGAGATGTTTATTCTCTGTTGCCCATGCAGGGCAGTTGTCTTGAAATTGTCAGGACTTACATTTTCAAAGCATAGGTAGTGGTAGGAAAAAGAGACTGAAATTTAGGCTTATTTTTTCCCCCAGTTTGAAGATAGTATTTTTCAATTCCAATCTCATTTGAAATAACTTAGAGCTTTGAATTTAGGAATGGGCAGACTGTGCAACACTGTCTGTGGGGTTCAGGAGTGTCCAGCCCTGCACTGTTCCTGGGCCGGGTTGCACCATCTGCATTGGGACCTTGGAAAACTGCTTTAAAAAGATACTTAGCAAAACTGCAAATCCAGTTTGTATACTATTTTTAATTAACAATGACTACTGTAGTTAATTGCCAGCTTGAGTAGTTCTGATGTTTCTTGAACTAGTCACTTGATGGTGAGCATTAGCTATTTTGAATACAAGTATTAGTGAGAGGAAACAGTCAGGAGAGGACTTCAGATATACCAGGATTAAAATGTTGGAGATGGCTGGTCCTGCTGCCAAAAGGGAAATATCCCAAACCAGGAGCTCCCCAACTGCAGCTCTTGACAGAGCTCCGCAAGTGCTCGGAGCCAGTGGGCACTGGTGCCAGCACCTTGTCTTGGGCTTTGCCCTTTGCCTCCATGTATCTAGAATGATTTCGCTCACCTGCTGCATGCCCTGTTGAGCCTCTGCAAGCCAAGCATGGGAATTACACGCCTGGAAAAGTGGCAAAAGGGTTTGCATCAGTCTTAGTTCCCCCTGTATGTGTGTACACAGGCTGTGGAGGGCGGCCAGCCTTCCCTCCCGAAGGCTGCGGCCGTTTGCGTTGCTCCTCAGGCCCTCCTGGCCCATAAAGGTGCTCGTTTGGCAGCACCACCCTTTAGCTGCCTGGTGCTTAGGGAAGCTGCAGGTGCTAAAGTCTGAGAGGGAATGGGAGTCACCTCTGGTGGTCGCTGCTTAGCTAAGTTCCCCAGGCCTCTTCCTGCTCATATGAAGTGTTCATCATTCATGCTTCCACCTCAAGACCTTCCAACAAAGCAAAGTTCTATCCTGAAGCCTTCTTAAAAACTTATTCCTAGTTAGGGGAAAAAAAAAAGAAATAAACGGATATTTGGAAGTCACCCTTTGTCAGAACTTGCTGGCTTTGATCCTTTGATGAGAGCGAATCCATAATCACTGAAAAATTAACTGTGCAGCTGCTAATCTTACTGTGATTGCTTGTAAGGGGACACATGCTGCTCATTCTTTTGGCTACATGTATTTGTAAATAAGGCATAGGAAACATACGGGCATTATGCTTTCCCAGGTTTTAAACCACTATTAATAGACTTGTTAATCCAATGAAGAATTGTGTTTTTACACAATTAAAATGTATTAGGGTAGTCGGTACAAAAGGGGCAGTGAAGAGCATTTATTCAGAGAGTAAATCAAGCTCTGATCAGCTGATCATCAAAACATTATCTGATTTACATTTCTATAGGCTTATGACCATATGAACAGGAAATTAATTTTGGCGCTAGGCTCAATGGTACTCAAGTCCATCACGCTAGCAAAAAGCACAAAGCAGCTAATCATAGTGAGACCTGCCAGCCAGTGCAGGACACAACCTGGACTATTCCTTGATTCATTTCCCCGCACTGACAGGTAAAACATCCATTTCAGAAGCTCCCCTAGAGCGTGAGCAACCTCAGCACTGAACCTGTGCAACTTATCTTCAAGTGCTCACTTGACTTAGATCGCTGCTAAATTTTGTACATGCAGGTATGTTACCAGTAGAAAGCTGAGTTGTTGAGTTAGTGGTGAACAGAAGTGCTTGGTTTGGGTGCTTGGTTTACTTGGTTTTCAGGTTAATTTGTAGAGGGAGAAGAAAAACTTCCAGCTGTAGCCCCACTCCGCTGTCCGTGCCCGCGGTACAGCCGCTGAAGCAGCTTTGTTCAGGTCGCGAGGCTCTTCTCACTTCCCTCCAAATATTTTCCCCTCTGAAAACAGACCAGTGAGTAAAAAGTGGATAGTGCCCTTTGACATTGCACTTTGTTATCCTGCCTCCTGCTATTGAGGAGAAAATTCCTTCTCCCACCTAATACTGCTTATTTATTTATTTATTGGAGATGAATCCATGTTGCTTGGAGAGGCTTTTTTCCATGCGATAATAGCGGCGGCTCTTCATAGATCCATTTGTTGCCGTGGTGATCTGCCTACTGCTTTTGTTAGGCCACCGCTACTTCAATAAACCCCTTCCTGTTATCAGCCCGCTGAAAATGTCTGCAAGTTCTTCAGAGCTAATAAACAGCAGGCATCACTCCTTTCATCTGAGCACTATAGCGTGGGGCCGCGCCGGCCGCCTGGCTGCACTAATGGAACTTGGCGAAGGAGCCGCCGCGGCCGTGGCCTGGCCCTCACGCTGGCCCCGGGTGCTGCACCTTGCCAGGGAACTCGCTACTGGTTGCAAAAGCAAACTAGAGGAGGAGTGCACACAGCTAAAAGTGTTTTGTCTTTGCCTTCTGTCTCTCTCCTCCTCCTAGGAATGAGATGGAAAGACACTTCCTGGAGCTGCTGCAGTTTAATATCAATGTTCCTGCCAGTGTTTACGCCAAATACTACTTCGATCTTCGCTCCCTAGCAGATGACAATAACCTGAGCTTTCTGCTGGAGCCGCTTAGTAAAGAAAGAGCACAGAAACTGGAGGTAATGGTCTGGGAGTGGGGACCCGGGGGCTCTGTGTGATGTACAGGAAGAGCATCTCCTGCTAATCATATCAAGTGGTGGCTAGAAAAGCTAAAAAGCTTTTAGATTAGTGTATTACAGGCTAATTTAACCTTTTTATAACTGCTGTTAGCACTTTAAAACCATGTCTTATAGACTAAGCTAATATGCTGAGGAAAGAGCAGAAGAGAGATTATGGAAGTCTGTGTAGCAGCTCACTAAATAAAATGGATGTTATTTTGGGAACCATAGTTCGCCAGGCTCCTTAAGAGTGAAAGGATTAGTGTCATATGTAATGGATTGTCTGTCCCTCCCTGGTCACAGTCTGTATTCCAAGCACCTAGAGACAGTCACACTCAGTCCTTTTTAAATATTCCCAGCTGAGGCTTTTCCCACTGCATCCCACTGCACAGCTGCCTCCGGACTTAGCGAGAGAGCCCTTACTGTGCTCATGGTTTATTAACCTCATGGTTTAATAAACCATTTGTGCAGGGACAGCTGCAGAGATAGGGTAGGTTTCATTTAACTTTTACAACGTTACCTTTCCAAAGAAATATTGCTTTAAGCTTTTGGAATAGTCACTTCTAAGCAATACTTGGAATGCCCAGGGGAGCAGAAGTATAGATTACTGGCCTCTTTTTGCGAGATGGAGAAGGGACCTGTCCCTGAGTCCCACAGTGCTCTTTGGTGTGAAGACTCATTTAAAGCAGCCTTAACTTTTGCAGCATCACACTCTCTCCTCCTCTTTGCTGGATACGGGCAAGATGTTTTGAACATACCTAAATTACCTGGGTTCCCAGGCAAAACTTCGTGTTGAATCAGTGCAGCCGTTCATCTGTCCAGGTTTAATTGATGACCACACATGGTGTTTTGCTGACCTTTCCACAAAGGCATTGATGCTGCCTTAGGTACCCTGATACCCCCAGCCCCTTCCAGGTAAGGGGGCTGCAGGGTCATTCCCTTACACTATGCCACTCTCCCCCCAGTATCCTGTGCAGTGTCAGATTTTTTTGTGTTGTCCCAGAGGTGGTTGAACTTCTGGAACAAGCGTGTTTCCCTCCTGGTCTGTTGACATGCTGGGTATGACATGCCCAGGAATTCCTCTATGTAAAGCTAAGCAATGCAGCTCTTCTGCTTTGTCTCACCCCTGTTACTTGCACTTTAAGCTAACACTGTCACTAATTGTAAATGTGGTTGTAGGGTAGTTCATATTCCACAGAAAATTGTTTACTGAACTGTTCGGTGCCCAGGAATAAGTGGATGATTTACAGATTGCGAGCCTGTTTTGTTTCTTCTTTGCAAGTATTTGAAGGGCTGGTATTTAAAAAAAATAATTTTCAGTGCAGTGTGTGATTTGCCGTAATGTACTTACTAATGCATGTATGTAGGGCATTTTAGGTTTAATTCTAAAACACGTGCTAAATACTCAGACCATTTGCTTAACTTTTTTTTAATCCTGCCTTTGGGTTCAGAAGCACAGGAGCAGTCGATAGGAGCCTGCATGCAAGAGTGAATTAGTATTCCAGGGATTGAAGACTGATTTACACCATATGGGTGGCTGGGGCTAAATATGTCAACGCAGGTTGCTCTGTGATTGATGTGCTAGCATTAAAACAGGATGGAGAGTCTGTCTGCTCTTGCACTGGGAGCTGCTGCAGCCAGGGTCCCAAGAATGCCACTCGAGAGCCAAATGCGTGCCTCCCAAAGGGCGGCAGGAATAAATGTAAATAATTATTTTAAAATACACTTAGGAGTTTATTCATGCTCAGAGTGCCGTTCACCTTTTGAACCTGCTGCACACTGGGCTGTGTTCAATGAGTGCTGCCTTAAAGGGAAGGTGGAGGCTGTAGCTGATTGCAGGGCTCTGAAGGTTCAGCTGGTAACGGATGGTAAATTATTAATGGAAAAAAATGCTCCAAACTGCATTTGGTTCAGCTTCCTGTTTCTGGTGTCCTTATTTATTTGCACTGATAGTGCTTGGAGGCTCCAATGAAGAATAGACCTTGCAGGTGAGAGCAGGGATTTTCAGTAGGGCTTGAAACTAGAATAGCTGCACAGAGTGAACGCTGCTTGCACAGCTAAATGAGCAGAACTGGAGCAAGCAAAGGGCTGGAGCAGCAGTTAAATACTGAGTTGTACACATGGGCAGCATGTTCAGCCACTGGATTAAAGCACCACTGTGCTGCCTGCTCGGAGCCCTCCCAGAGCCGACGGCAGGAGCAGCCTGGGGAGCAGGGCCTGTGAGGGCAAGGGAGGCCTAGCAGAGCTTTGGCTGTGTGAAAGGGAGAAAGCTGGTGGCATCACCAAGGGATGCCTGCCCTGCTGGCTGCTGCACTCATGATAGCCTCCTCAATGCTCAGCCCCTTCTAATGTGCATGTTTTTCTTTTTGTATCTGCACTTGATTTCCAGGCTATCTCCCGGCTGTGTGAAGATAAATACAAAGACTTGTCAAAAGCTGCTATGAGACGATCTTTCAGTGCTGATAATTTAGTTGGTATCCGCCGTTCTAATGCCATCCTCTCCTGAGGAGAGAGAAAGGTGCAGCACCATGAACCAGCATCCCTACGCCCCGGAGGAATCCACCACTCCATGCACACGAGCCAGCGGTGATGGTGTCTTCCAGCGAGAGGAGGAGAGAGGGTAAAACCAGCCAAGGGAGCCCAGAGCTTAAGGAGATCCTCAGTGCAAAAGATCACTTTGTCAAATCGAACTCTCCTCCTTTAAATGTATCCAGAGGTGCAAAAACAAACTTTTCTCAGTCTCTCCCCCACAGATGTTTGCTTACTATGTAGGCCTATAGCTGTGAACTCGTGAAGTTTTTAATAATGAGTAGTTTTAAATTTTAGAATTGAAACACTAACACCGTGACTATAGTTACAATGTTCTTCCCTCCTCTCCCCTGTCAGCCTGAACTTTGCTGCATTTGTCTTTCAGGTCAGTGCAGTGTTAACAAAAACAAAACATGGGACTCTTAACAAATTATAAAGCCACTCTGGAATTGAAAAACTGTAGCATAGACAAGTGTTGATGGCTTTTCCCTGGTTTGGCTACTAAAAGCTGCTATTATCGATGATCTGTTCATAACCAAGAAGCTGCCTAGCAGGAAGGAATCCTATCTTTGCACCAACAACTTACTCCCATAGAGATTGTCAAAAAACTTTGGATGTTTTGACCGTGAGCAGGGAAATGGTTTCACGTATTGTTAAAGTATATAGGGTCCATGCTGCATTTCTTGTGAATTATGGTGCTTCTCTCATTTTTCTGATACTTATTATTGCTCTGGAAGAGTTGCAATCTGTTTATTTTTTGAGGCATTGGATGAGAAAGTTGGTCTGGAAACATCATCACCATCTCAAACAGTGTAGCAGTCCCATGGTGAACGGCATGTGTGCAGCACCGCTTCTCGAGCGCTCCTGCAGAGCTTGTGCTACGTACAGTGGAGTTCCTAAAGCTGATATTGTTGTGCATCCATCCCACTCTTCTTGGATTTTTATTTCCTGGGAGGGATTTACAGTTATGATGACAGCAGTGACTTTGAGAATGCTGAACTACCTAACACAGGGTAGATGGAGAAATTAATTGTGTTCATTTGTGTTTAATTATCAACAATATTTCCATAAAACACTTTTTTTTTTTTTTTTTTCAAGTGAAGTTTTGCCTTGTGCAACTACTCTTCTTGAGGCTTTGGGTTTTGCTCTTTCTGAGGCTTTGGAGTGGAGCGCACTTTTAAGGCTCTGAAACTGAACTCTAAACGGGATAAGTATTATTAAATTCCTCCTGGTACAAGTCTTTGTAAGATCTTCCCCTTTTGGATCCAAACAGCTTCCGGGCAGTGTGTCCTAGGAGCAGGTCTCACTCAAACGGGCACCGTTTTTGTGCCCTTCCCGCCAAGGTCCAGAAACATTTGGTGAGCAGCAAGTCCCGATGCCTTTGGAGGGAGATGCTGTGTGTGTCAATCAGTGTGGCTGCACTCAGATGCTCGAATGATGCATAGAGTATTTTATGGTATGCAAAATGCCATCCCCTGGCGCTCAAATCCACGGAACATGGCGCTTCAGGTAGCGATCACTATTCAATTCTGAAAATAATGCTACGTCTTCAGGTGGTTTTTCCTTTCTCATGTTTGTATTAAAAGAAAAGCTAATAAACTCTATTTTAAATAAAGTTAAGAGTGAGGTGTGTGCTCTGACCCTTGGGAAGGTCTCAGGTGCCACTGCTGGAGCTCACTTGGCAAACGTGGGCCAGGCAGGGCACAGGCAGCCTGCGCTTTGTGTCAGTGCTTTGCTAGTCCCAGCTGCCCTCTGCACTTGGAGTTTGACCCAAATAACTAATTACTGACAACCTCTTTGCACTTAAATGACCTGCAAGGAGGGCCAGTCTTTCTGGAGGTGACTTGTCTGCCTTGGAGGCCTCTTGGAGGCCCAGGACCTTAGAAAGGAGGGAGCAGCTCCCGGGGTGACTCGTGAGCCGACAGCAGCAGGGCTGGGCGGCCGTGGGCTCTGTGGGTGCAGCCTGATGTGCTTAGCAGCAGCTCCTGCCTCTTGCTTGCTCTCCTGCTGCACGGGCCGAGCTCTGCCCGCTGCTCGTGGCAGCAGGAGGGCAACAGGGCCCCCAGAGCATCCTCCCCCAGCAGAACCCTGACCCTTGGCCAGATGCCAGTTCTGATCCGTAGGGCTCCACTGCTGGATTAACCTCGTAGCAGGAGCAAACTGGTAGCGTCCTTGCTTGGGAGAAGCCCTCCCCTCGCATTAACTTTATAGGGGCCCCGAAGAGAACTAGAACCAGCAAACTGAAACTAGTGTGTGCCTTAGGTGAAGACAGTAACAAGTGAAGCAGACAGGTTCCTTCTGAAGGGAAGAACAGTGATACTGTTCCCAAGGGCACTGGATTGAGGTGGTTCTGCTGTGACTTCTGGCTTTGTTTCGGCACCAGGAAGTGTTCCCGTGCAGGCTGGACCCTTGCTGCCCTGCAGAGCAGCTCTTGGATGTGCAGCCAGACCGGGGTGGGCAGCAGCAGGGCCAAGCTGAGCAGAGGGGGCAGGCGGGTGCCACGGCCAGCAAGTCAGCAAAGGGTTTGCAGGCGACTCCGCTGCCCATGGCTTTGGCTCTCCCGTCCCCCTGTGCACAGGACTCTGTATTTTGTTTCTATGGGGATCTCATGTGAGAGCTACTTCAGAGGGGGCTTGGCAGCTGCGAGGACAGGCACTTCAGCTACTGAATAAATGTCAAGCACATCTCCTGGATAAGAACCTGGGCCTCCAGAGGAAGCCCATCAAGCGGAAGAGGCCACAAGGGCCGCCAAGACGAGCGCTCCCATGCCGGGCTGCCAGGTGTGCGTGGCCAGCGCCAGCCCCTATGGCAAGCCGGGAAGGTGACACTTGCAGCGAGACGCCGGGCAGCAAACCCTGCTCCCAGGCTGCCACAGAAGGGCGCACGCATCCCTGCGCGTGTCCTCACGCGCTGTCGTGAGCTGGGAGCGCGTCCCGCTGGGGACAGGCGGGCAGCGCCCCGCAGCACCGGCCCTGGCTCCAGCACCACGTTGGGCACCGCGCGACCCTGGCCCCCAGTCACTTCGAGCGCCTCAGCCCGGTGCCCGGGCGCTGCCCGGCACACGGGAAGTGTGAGTCAGGCCGGGCCACCCGCTCCAGCGTGTGTTATCGCTGCTCCGCACTGGAATGCTGCTTCCAGGTAAGCGATTCTATCTGGCGAGACCCGCTGTGTGCCTACACACCTGGCTCGATAGCACAGTCCTGCACCATTAGTCACCGCCATGCCAGCATTAACCCCTTGCGCGCCTTGCGCGGCGCTGCTCCCCGCGAGGGAGCGCGCACAGCAGGTGGCCACACGGGCGCTTGATCCGCGGGCAACAACATCCTGCCCGACGTGCGGCTGTCATCTGCTCTGCCTGACACGTATCAAAGGGCAACTCCTCTGAGCCCCGGTTCAGCGCAGGGCGAGGAGCTGATAGTGCAAAAGGCCAATAAAAGTTGATAGTTAATCCTCATCGGCAGGAGAGGCACAACCTTGAACTGCCAAGGAACCAGCCCTGGCCCTGGCCCGCAGCGGCGGCTGCCACCGTGCACCCCTGCGCAGGGCACAGAGCTGCTGTGCTCGGGCACACGCGGCAAGAGCCGCCGGCACACACGGGCCCCGCACGGCCCTCCCCACACGCCCTCGTGCCTGCTTTTATTGCAGTTATTCACCTCGTACAAGTGGGAGCAAAGAAAACACCACACACCTTTTTTTTTTTTTTTTTTTTTTCCTCCTCATAAATAACTAATCTCTATACTTCTCTTTGAATAGAATTTCTTCAGCTTTTCACAAAATATAATACAGTTATTTAAACAAAGTTGAACAGCAGGAACTGAGAGGCAAAGGAACAACATGTGATTTGTCCCCAATACAGCAGGCACCGAACAACAGTCCCCCGCCACGGCCCTCCCTCTTTGCCTGACACTTTGGTGCCCTGCAGCCAGGCTCGAGTACAAGTTGGTTTTATCAACCCACCACAACAGTCTTGCGTTTTTTTCAATAGGCAACAGTTAATCTTGGATTTTTTTTAAAAAAATAATAAAAAAATGAAAGCTTTACACAGTCAGTTACACTTAAAAAAAAAGAAATAAAAAAAAACAACTTTGACGTGGGCTTGCTCATTGTATTGCATGACAAGGGTCAGGCCGTATCTACAAAAGGCACTATAGCTATAGAAGGAGATGCACCTGGCAAGGCTTGGCTTGGGGTATTTAATGCCCTGGATTCGTGCTGGAGTCCCCCCAGCACCTGTGCCTGCCTCACTGTCAAGCCTGGGTCCGCGGCGCAGGCATCGGAGGGGCTGAATACACCTACGCGCAGCGCAGGGCGCAGGCACCGGAGGGGGAATATACACCCATGCACAGTGCCTGAGAGCCCGGCTGCAACTCCTCCCGGGACCAGGCGCTACTGCGAGTCCCACTGGGAGCGCGCAGAGCCGGGAGCCTCTGAACTTCCTGCACGAGGCGTCCCCACGTCCCCACCTTGCCAGAGGGTCTGTCTGCAGAGATGCCCGCGCAGGGGCCGGGTTGGCAGCCCCTTGCCTCCCTGCTGCTGCTTAAAGCAGTGGCCGCGGGTCACGGTGACACTCTCAAGCATGAGCTAAGGGAGCCGAGCTGCACCCCTTGGGGAGGGAGGGAGAAAATAAACCTGGTGCCTCTAGGAGGGGCTGAGGGCCGTGGGGCTCCGGCTGTCCGTGCCAAGCCCCCTCCCCAGGCTCCGGGAAAGGGCGATGGAGCAGCCTGGCTGCCCCCCACATAGTTCCCCCCCGTTCGAGACCCGTCCACCACGCGCTGCGCTGCCCGCTCAGACGCAGCCTCCCGCAACACAACGTCGGGCAGGGCTGCCCGCTCAGCACCGCCGCACCCGGACACGGACCCCACAGGGCCCGGTGCCGAGGAGCGGCGCCACCCGCGCGGCCCCCTCTCCCACAGTGCGGGCAGCCCCATGGGGGCCAATCTCCGCTCGGCGCCCGGCGCCACCAACTCCCCACGGCAGCTCACGGGCTCCGGTGCTCTTCGCTCCGCTCCCGTTCCTGTCTCCGGATACCGGCCCGTGGCCGCCTCATCCCGGCGCTGGCCCGCCGACCAGCGCGGGGCTGGCCTCACCGCACACGGAGGCGCCCACGGGCTTCCTGCCCCGGCAGCAGCGTGCCGTGAAGCGTCGCCACGACTCCAGCGTCTTGCCGGACCAGATCCACACACCTGAGGTGATGCCCACCACGAGGCACATGAAGTACTTGAGCATGAAGATGGCGTAGTCGGGCTTGGGGCGCTGGGGGTCCCCCGGGCAAGAGCAGTTCTGCGCCCGCTCCCAGGCTTCCCGGTTGTGCTGCTCGTAGATGTAGCAGGCGATGACGATGGTGGCCGGCACGGTGTAGAGCACGGTGAAGATGCCGATGCGGATCATGAGCTTTTCCAGCTTGTCTGTCTTGGTGCCGCCCTGTTTGATCACACTGCGGATGCGGAACAGGGAGACGAAGCCGGCCAGCAGGAAGAGGCTGCCGGTGAAGAGATAGACCACGAGTGGTGCCAGCACAAAGCCCCGCAGGTTCTCCAGGCTCTGGTTGCCCACATAGCAAACCCCAGCCACCGGGTCACCATCCACAGAGCTGAGGGCCAGCACAGCGATGGACTTGGCGCTGGGGATGAGCCAGGCGGCCAGGTGGAAGTACTGCGCATAGCCAGCGATGGCCTCATTGCCCCACTTCATGCCGGCAGCCAGGAACCAGGTGAGGGACAGAATGACCCACCAGATGGAGCTGGCCATACCGAAGAAGTAGAGCAGGAGGAAGACCACGGTGCAGAGCGCGGGGCCCGTTGTTTCGTAGTGCACATGGTGGTGCTCGGGGTTGCAGGCCACGCTGGCGTGTCCTGCCACGAGCCGCACGATGTAGCCCATGGAGACGAAGAGGTAGCAGGCGGAGAGGAAGATGATGGGGCGCTCTGGGTACTTGAAGCGCTCCATGTCAATGAGGAAGGTGGCCACGGTGGTGGAGGTGGAGAGGAAGCAGAGGATGGACCAGAGGCCGATCCAGAAGGTGGCGAAGGTCTTCTCATCCTGCGTGAAGTAGGGCTGGTAGCAGGGGATGGCGCAGTTGGGCACCTGCCCCGTGCGGACACGGTTGTAGAGCGGGTGCGACTCCTTGGCGATGGGCACCAGGGG